TTTAATTATATTTCCCAAACACTGAGAAATGTAAGGTTCCACAGGCCTCACTCTAGAGGGGATGTTCCCTCGAAGACTTCCCATCACAACCCACAGTTGTGCAGCAAAGTGCCCATTGCCCCAAAAATCTGCAGGCAGAATGGTCTCTCTGCTTATCTGGAATCTTTAATCCCTGCTAGAACAGTTGGCCAGATTTCTACAAAAGTAAGTTCACAGGGCATCAGTTAGCCATTCCGGCTCTGTCATGCCCCTGGCATCTTCAGACCTGAAACTGATTCAGAAACCATGGGGGCTGGAAACCAACCAGGCACACACACATGCATGGAGTAGGCCTGAGAATCTCAACATTCCCTTCATCCTCTTGCCCAAATGCCCATGAATGTGCAGAAGGCGCATGCCACTTCCCTGCCCCTCCCACACCTAAATCTGCAGCTGTGAATTCTGAACCCAGGTCCTGGGGTTCTCCAGGATGTGTGAGAGCAGCCTTCCTGAGGGGTTGTCTCCTCTAGTTTTCCTCTCTTCACAGCAACACCCAAGAATGCAGAGCCAGGTTGATTCCGCCTGGGGTCTGCACATAAAGGCTGGTCTCCACCTGGGATCCACAAGACAGGGCCAGACTTTGGACTGAGGATGTATAGAAAATCCAGGGGACAGTTTCTGCATTACGAGAGACTGATGTAGACCTTGTAAAGCCCGACTTTTTGTGTGGGGTCCTTCAAGTTTTCCAGATCTTGTCCAGTGAGCTGCTGTAGTTCTGTGAGGGCCTTCTGGTCTAAGCAGAATATGGTGGCAGAATCTGTTAGTGTAAAGCAGCATCTTAGCAGAGGGAGGGCAGGGCCACCACTGTCCAGAGCCATGAATAAAACTACAGCTACCTGTGAGCTGCGTTACTGGAGTAGGGTAATCTTGTTCTTTCTTGTACCCAAGAGTTGGCTGATCAGGTATAGGTAATATTACACCTGGCTCCAGAATCTGTGGCTCCACTGGGGCAGTTCCACTTTGTATCCTGGCCCCACAGAGTCAGCCTGAGTCTGTCCTGCCCAAATCACTACCGGGGCATCAGCACAGGATCACCAGGGACTCCCTCACCAGCACCTGGGGGTCCTTGAGACATCTGGTGATGTCCTGTGCAGACTGAGGTCAGGCTGACAACAGGGTCTAATTTCTTTCCATCTCAGAGGGAAAGGAATGCATTATCCAGGATTTGTTCCTCCACTCTCAGAAGGAATCTGTTTATTTGGTATCCAAATGGGAGTTGCTCCAGTTTTCTACTACGTGGACGAAGAACGAAGAGGAGTTCTGGAGACTCATACTGATAGGTAAACCAATTGCTTCCATTTCATGTGGCCATTAGATCAACACTTGTAGCAGCCATAGTCCCTACCATCCAGGAACTTTCAGTCTAGAGCAAATGGATAATGGCCAAATTCAGCATCATGTGGTCCTGTGCAAGCACAGAGGTATACAGGGAACTTGGACTTGATTTGGGACACTGCTCTTATGTTGACATTGTGAGTTCTGATGTCACCACCTGAAGGACCACCCATGGACAGAAGAGTTGTTATTTCTATTGATTTTCTCTTGATTCGGTTTTTAATATTTTCCCAGTGTTGGGAAAAAGCCGAGTGTTGGGAGGGAAACTGAGGCAGGGCTTACATAATGTCCTGTGGAATGTGTCTAGACTTGCTGGCTCCTTGCTTCTAGCCCTCTTAGGCTCCTCGATCGATTGTATTCCCATTATCTCAAGTAGCAGAACATGTTCCATATAAATGCTAAACCATCACAACTATAAATCATGTGCCTAATGCAATGTATCCTTTTGACCGCCACATTCTCACCACCTGTTTCTTTGTTGGATTACCAATAAATAGCGTGTGCTGTCAGAGCTCGGGGCCTTTGCAGGTTCTATACAATAGCGATGGCCCCCTGGTGTCCCAATCTTTTCTCTTCCACTGTCTTTTTCTCAATCCTTTGACTTCGCCAGGCTTTGTCACCCCCACGACCTGGTGTTGGGTCTGATCACCCCAACACCCAGAAAGCCCTACATATTTTGATTGCATTGCTTGTTAATAGATTTATAAAATAGTTAAAGATGAAACAAAATTAGAAAAACTCCGGGAGTCAAGTTCTTGTGGTCAGGCTTAGGAAACACAGGACTGAAAATAAATCAGCAACACAGAGATGAGAAGCCTAGGGCCTGCCCCCTGCCCCTAGCCTTGCTCTGCCCCAACCCTGTCCAAATCCACCCTCTTCTGAGCTTGGTTCCGGTCTGGCCCCACCTGGGAGCCTACCTTCACAGAACTGTTTGTTGGAGATCAGACTCCTGAGTGGTTGCTCTTGCTGGTTCTCCAGAGCCAGTGCTCACAATTTCCCCAAACCCAAAAGCAGTTAAATGGGAGCAAAGGACAATATGGGGGCCTGAATTTTTTTCTTCATTGAAACAGTGCTTCTAGAGACATCCCACCTGGCAACCTTTTTTCCATTCCTGCAGGTCCAGTAGTTGCTCCGCAAGTAGTAACAAAGTCAATGTAAAGACTACAGTGAGAAATCCTTATGAACTAAACTTCAGCCTCCTTTTCCGTATCCCTCCCATCTGTCTATAGTTAGCTTTTATAGTGACAGGGAAACAGAAGAAGAGAGAGAAAGGCTGGGCCATCCTCTAAATCTTGCAGGGAATTATGGGATACTCAGGACCCACATCCCAGGGGTTTATGTGGCTTAACTCTCACTATGTGATGTTGCCAGCACAGTGCGTACTGTGAGCACATAGTACAAGCTCAGTAAACACTGCTTTCATGCATGTATCCATGCTGTTTTCCAAATGCTGACTTAGATGTTACTGTCCTCACCAGCCTCTGTAGACTTTAAACGGCTGGCAAAGGATGTGATTTTTCAGGACAGTGGTTGGTAGTCCTCGCTGTGAATGAAAAGTATTTGTGTTGTGATTAGAGTATTGAGTGTAAGGGACTCTGTGTGCTGTGCCCGCTTCCTCTAGCTGTGTGCTAATGATAATGGGTCTTAAGCCGATTCATGGAACTTTTCCAAACCTGCAGAATCACAGTACTTAGCACAGGCCCCAGAATACCAAATGATGTGTATGCATATTGAAGCTTGAGAGGAATGCTTAGCTAAGTGGTTCTCAGCCCAGGCTTCTAAGTAGGGTCACATGGCCAGTTTGAAGAAATATGGCCACCTGTATGTTCCTCCACAGATTTTATTATTATACTCAGATCATGATTTACTTTTTTCTGTCACTGATATCACAGTAATGATTATGGGTCCATCTGTGCGTCAGCACGGATACCAGTTCGTCTCATTACAGCCGATGCTAACTTCATTCCCCTGGTTCGGGTGCTCTCTGCCGGATTCCTTCACTAGTTATTTTTCTCTTTGTTGTTAATGAATATCTAGGAGGGAGGATTTACTGAGTGATGTGTATAAACCATCTCGTTTAATTCAGAGACTCCCATTGCTTTCTAGTTTCCTTTTGCTTGTGGGTTGCTTTGGAGAGTGAAGGCTCTCACGTTTGTTGACTGTAAATACTGGTTTTTGAAACTGGAAGTTCTGAAACAAGCCTCACTTCTGTAGGTTTCTACTTCAATTTATTCATGTCACAAGCATACACTCCTTTATTCTCTGTATTTTCAGAGAAAGATAACAATTTACATATAGTTTATATACCCATTGTCTTAAAATTCTAAAATATAACACAGCACTTAGAATAAATAAAACAAAAAGTTGGGGGAAAAAAGGAGACTCAGAAGCACAAGCTCTTATTTTAATTTATATCATTGTATATATTAGTCTCCATAGTTTGTTTAAAAAACAGAAAAAGGCATTATCCACAAAGAGTTTTATAGTTTTAACACAACTTAAAATATTTCTTAATTTTCTTAAGAAATGTTCTGTCACTTTTCATGTACGTATAGTTACCATTTCTATGTATGTGTGTGTGTGTGACATAAGCATCATTTGATCAGTTTTGTGTTGCTGCCTTCCTGTTTTCATCATCTTCTCAGTTGTGACACCTGCTCTGAACAGTCTTTTATGGTTATCTCTGCATATTGGCCTGTATGTCCCTTTGAAATGAATTCTAAGTTAGATACTGGAGTAAAATACAAGCTCTACTGTATACTAGATATTTGGCAAAAAAAAAATTTTCAGGCTTGAGACAGATGGGGAGGGTTGACAAAATATTTTTATTAAAGAGGAAGAATAGTATTATTTCTCACATAGATTATTTTTATGGTTTTATCAATACATGAAAAACTGCTAGGATGGCATCTAGGAAATAGTAGATGTTCAAAAAGGATTCTTCTATTCTTGCTATTATGTTATAACCTGTAAATTTCATAAAACTCTCAATTCGACATCATCCCTGCATTCTTCCCTCAGTGTTTTACCTCTCTGCTATTCAAAAGTGTGGCCTGTGACCTGAGGCATTGGCATCACTGATGAGCTTGTTAAAAATGCAAAAACTCAGCCCCAACCCCAGATCTCCTGAATCAGAATCTGCATTTGAACCAGTTCTGCAGTTTATTGTTGAATACAATACAATTTGAAAAGTATGCCTCTAAGTCACCATGACTTTTCCACCTGACAATTATACACAACTAATTGTAGATGATGTAAATATAGACTCAAAAATGTATATTCCTATGTTGACGCCTTCGTTTTTTGGTTTTTTGGTTTTTTGTTTGTTTTTGTTTTTTGAGACGGAATTTCGCTCTTGTTGCTCAGACTAGAGTGCAATGGTGCAATCTTTTCTCACTGCAACCTCCACCTCCCGGTTCAAGCAATTCTCCTGCCTTAGGTTCCTGAGTAGCTGGGATTACAGGCAAGCACCACCATGTCCGGCTAATTTTTTGTATTTTTAGTACAGATGGGGTTTCCTCATTTTGGACAGGCTGGTCTTGAACTCCTGATGTCAGGTGATCCACCCACCTTGGCATCCCAAAGTTCTGAGATTACAGGCATGAGCCACCGCACCCGGCCTTTATGCCTTCGTTTTATATTTTATATTCTATATAGGCATAGTACCTACACTGGTTTTGTGGATCTTATGTCATTCTCTTTCCACAGAGTTAGAGAATACATTAGAAAATATTATTGTGTTTAAAAGTATCTTATTGAATATTTCAGGTCACTCATATAAGTCAGAGTCAGTTTTCTTAACTTTCTTATTTCATCTTGGTTTGTCAAATGATGAACTCTGCCTATGGCCACATGGTCAATGTGCTATTTATTTTTATTTCAGGGATTGTTGACATTCAGGGATGTGGCCATAGAATTCTCTTGGGAGGAGTGGACACCTGGACTCAGATCAGAAACTTTTATATGGGGATGTGATGTTAGAGAACTACAGAAACCTGGTCTGTCTGGGTGAGGATAACTTGCCTTCAGATTATCTAATATCTAATAACTAAGGGTTTTATTTCTATCCTTTGTAGAATGTCACTTGGGAGCTTATGCTTTATATGAATGAATTCAGGTTCCTGCTTCCAGGAAAAAAAAATTGTGGGTTCATTGCAGAAAAAACTTCCTGATGTTTGATCTTGACATTTGCCTTCTTTCTTGAGGTGATGTAGAAGCTTCACTGTAGTTTAGTGGTGATTCTAGAAATGGAATGACATAAACGATCATTGCCTACACTTTAAAATCCAATTCCTTTTCCTTATTTTTGACTCAGTCATACTTGGAAGTGAAGCTCAAGATTCCTGTGTTTAAAATGCTTCCTAAATATTGTAAAGAAGCTGACAGGAAATAGTGTTTGGGGAAGTAATTTTCTAGGATCCTCTATAATGTTCCCTCTTTACTGAGTATCCTACTGAGCTGGCAATTAAAGAACTCCCAGCAAGAATCATGTGACTTTTTCTAATAAAACAGGTCTCGCTGTCTCTAAGCCGGACCTGATCACCTTTTTGGAGCAAAGGAAAGAGCCCTGGAATGTGAAGAGTGAGGAGACAGTAGCCGTCCAGCCAGGTAGGTGGGAGCAGATGAAGTGGATGACATGGGTGAGAGGTCCAGCGGTCAAGAAAGAACCAGACCTTGGAGTGTGGATTGGGAAGTTCTCCAATGGAAATGATTTTTGAGACACTTGGGTTTCTTTCTTTCTCTTGCTGTCACAGAGGGACATCTTCTGTCTCATGTTCTTAAATTATCTGATGATTCTCCTTCCCCTTCTGTGATCCACCATCAAATTCACAGTGACAGCCAAAGTGCTCCCCTTGGCCTATGAGGGCCTGTGTGATCTGACTGCCCTTGCATTGATTTGGGGGCTCTGGGAAAGTCTGGGCATGTTTCTACCTCTGTGTGGAACCCCTTTTAAAGTTCTGGTTTTGCGTCATGTCAGAAATGTGTGAGATGAGTGATGGACAGTAGGATTTTTTTCAAAAGTCCCAGGAATTCTGTGGATAGATGCTACATATTTTCTGGTATATTAATTTCTAATCCTATGGTGGTTTCCAAGATGATCCTACAAAAATTGAGACTCAGTAATTTCATCAGAGCACAAAGTATCTTCCTAAATGTAAAAAAAAAAAAAAAATCTGATTCCGTATTTTCACTTCAACTTTTCATCTTTCCTAGCCTAAACTAAAATATAAGCTCTATGCACAAATTCCACAGATTTAAAATCATTTAATATATTACTTACTACATAGAATTCTTAACTAAATGATTGTCTATGGGGAGTTTAGAACATTGCCCATTATATGGCTAAACTCTCAACTTTTACCTTATATGTTAATACGATTTTATAATTTTGTCTGGATAATTGTGAAGTTTAATGTGGTCTTTATGTTCATTTTCTTTCTTTTCCTTTTCTTTTTTCTTTTCCTTCCTTCTTTCATATGGATTTTTTTCCCACACTTGTAAATTGTATATATTTAAGGCATACATCCTGATAATTTGATTTTACATATGTATACATTGTATAATGATTAATACAATGAAATTAATTAGCATATTAATCATCTCACATAGTTGCCAGGATTTGTGGAGAGAGCATTTAAGATCTACTGTGTTAGCAAATCTCAAGTATACAAGCGTGTTGTAAACTATATTCACAGTGCTGTACATTAGATCCCCAGAATTTATCTTTTCAATGGAAGTATGTACTCTGACCGGTATCTCCCCATTTTTACCACTTCTCAGCTGTTGAGACCCATTGTTCTACACTTTACTTCTATGAGCTCAACTATTTTAGATTCCACAAATAACCGATATTATACAGTATTTGTATTTCTCTGTCTTATTCAGTTACCATAATATCCACCTGGTTTATTCATCCACGTTGTCTGAAATGGCAGGATTACCTTCTTCATTATGCTGAATAATATTCCACTATATAATGTGAATAATCAGCTATGAACATAGGGGTGCAGATATCTCTTTAACATACTGATATTGATTAATTGATTGATTGATTGATTTTTAAGACGGAGTCTCACTTTGTCGCCCAGGCTGGAGTGCAGTGGCGCCATCTTGGCTCACTACAACCTCTGCTTCCCAGGTTCAAGCGATTCTCCCTCCTCAGCCTCCCAAGTAGCTGCGATTACATGCTTGTGCCACCCTGCCTGGCTAATTTTTTTGTATTTTTAGTAGAGACAGGGTTTCGCCATGTTGGCCAGGCTGGTCTTGAATTCCTGTCCTCAAGTGATCCACCTGCCTCAGCCTCCCAAAGTGCTGGGATTACAGGCATGAGCCATTGCGCTCACCAGATTGTATTTCTTTTAGGTATATACTTAGAATTGGGATTGAGGTTCATATGGTACTTCTATTTTTAATTTTTTGAGGAGCCTCCATGCTTTTTCCCATAATGGCTGGATCAATTTACATTTCCACCAATGGTGTACAATGTTCCCTTTTCTCTACACTGTCACTATTTGTGGTCTCTTTTCTCTTTGATAATAGCTATTCTAACAGTATGAGGTGATATCTCATGATTTGATAATCTCATTGTGGTATCTCTCTGTGAATGTGAGGTGATGGCTCATTGAGGTTTGATGTGCATTTCCCTGATGATTAATTATGTTGAGCACCTTTTCTTAAACCTGTTTGCTACTTTTATGTCATCCCTGGAAAAATTTCTAGTCAAGTCCTTTGCATGTTTTTAAATCAGATTTACTTTTATTGGCAGTTGAGTTGTGTGAGATTCTTCAATCTTTTGGATATGAAACTCTTATCAGATATATTTTCTCCCAGTCCTTAGGTCAGTCCTTAGGTTGCCTTTTCATGTTGTTCTTTGTTTCCTTTGCTGTGCAGACACTTTTTAGTTTGATGTAGGCCCACTTGTTTTTGTTTTTTGATTTTGTTGATTGTGCTTTTTTGGTGCGAAATCTAAAAAATCAGTACCAAGGCTGATGTCGAAGAGTTTGTTCCCTGTGTTTCTTCTAAAAGTTACACAATTTCTGGTTTTATATTTAAGTGTTAATTCTTTTTGAGTTCATTTTTGTATATGGTATAAATGTTCAATTTCATCCTTTTGCTCATAAATATCCACCTTTTCCAGCATCATTTATTGAAGAGAACATCCTTTACCCTTTGTGTATCTTGGTGCCCTTGTCAGTGATTGCTAACTGTATACACATGGGGTTATTTTTGCTTTCCTCATTCTGTCCCATTGGTCTATGTGTCTTTGTAGGTCAGTGTAATACTATTAGTATAGCTTTGTAATAGTTTGGAATGAAGAAGTGTGATGCCTTCAGCTTTATTCTTTCTTAAGATTGTGTTGGCTATTTGTGGTCATTTGTGGTTTTATAGAAATTTGGAGGTCAGATGCAGTGGCTCACACCTGTAATCCCAGCACTTTGGGAGACCTGAAGCAGGCGGATCACTTGAGGCCGGGAGTTCAAGACCAGCCTGGCCAACATGGCGAAACCCCGTCTCTACTAAAAATACAAAAATTAGGCAAGTGTGGTGGCGCATACCTGTAATCCCAGCTACTGGAAAGGCTGAGGCAAGAGAATTGCTTGAACCCAGGAGGCCAAGGTTGCAGTGAGCCAAGATCATGCCACTGCACTCCAGCCTGAGCAACCGTGACACTCTGTCTCAAAAAATATATATAAAATAAAATAAAATAAATTTTAGAATTTATTTTTATTTCTGTGAAAACTGACATTGGAATTTTAATAGGGATTACTTTGTATCTGTATATCACTTTGTGGAGTGTGGACATTTTATCAATATTAATTTTTCCAGTCAATGAACAAGGGCTATCTTTCCATTTATTTGTGTCTTTTTCAATTACATTCATCAGTGTCTTATGGATTTTAATAAGCAGATCTTTTACCTCCTTTATTAAATGGAGTCATAATAATTTTACACTTTTTGATGCTATTATAAATTGGATTGTTTGCTTAACTTTTTTTCTCAGATCGTTTATTGTTAGTATATAGAAATGCAACTAATTTTTGTATGTTAATTTTGTGACCTCAGCTTTACTGAATGAGTTTATTAGCTCTAACTCTTTTTGTATACTCTTCAGGATTTTCTATATATAAAATCACCTAATCTGCAAGCAGAGAGAATTATAATTCTTTGTTGCTGATGTGAGTGCTTTTTATTTCTTTTTCTTACCTAATTGCTCTTGTTGCAGGGCAGGTGAGCCCCCAGATTGGGGCTTATCCTGGGAAGGTTCATAGCTTCACTCAGGAAGAATTCAAATGCAGGGTAGTGGTAGAAGAAAACAGCTTTATTGAGCTGGCAGTGTTGCAGCTCTATGACTGCTCCTGTGGAGTGAGGCTCCCCTGTAGGCAGTGTGCTGAGAGGAGCAGTTCTGCAGTCATGTACTTATATACCCACTTTTCATTACATGCAAACTAAGGGGCAGTGTTTTTTCCCTTCAATTGTTTGGAAGAATTTGAGAAGGGTGGACATTAATTCATCTTTAAATGTGTGATACCATTCACCCATGAAGTCATTTGGTCATGGGCTTTTTCTCATTGGATTTTTTATAACTGCTTCAATCTCCTTTCTTATTATTGGTCTGTTCAATGTTTCTGTTTCTTTGTGATTTAATCTTGGTGAGTCATTCATTTCTAAGAATCTATTTCTTCTGAGTTATCCAATTTGTTGTCATATGATTGTTCATCGTAGTCTCTTATTATTCTTTGTATTTGTGTGTTGTCAGTGTCATGACTCATTGTATTTATTTATTTATTTGAGAGAGGATCACACTTGGATGCCCAGGCCAAAGTGCAGTGACTCACTGCAGCCTCATCCTCCCAGGCTCAGGTGATTCTCCCATCTCCCAAGTAGCTGGGACTATAGGTGCATACCACCATGCTCAGCTAATTTTTGTACTTTTTGGAGACAGGGGTTTGTGTGTTGCCAAGGCTGGTCTCAACTTCTGGGCTCCCAAAGCGCTGGGATTACAAGCATGAGCAAGTGCACACAGCCTTGTAATTTTGAGTCCTCTCTCTTTTTGTTCCTTTGTTTAATCTGACCCAAGTTTCTCCAATTTTGTTTTCTTTGAAAAATTCAACTCAGTTTCTTTGATCTTTTCTATTGTCTTTCTAGTCTTTATTTAATCTCTTTTTGTTATAAATTCTTATCTTCCATAGTATGCTAACATTGGGATTGGGATTATTTTGTTCTTGTTCAAGTTTCTTGAGGAATTGGAGTTAGATTCTTATTCAATATCTTTTTGTTCTTTTCTTCTTTTTTTTTTTTTTTGGAGACGGATCTCACTCTGTCGCCCACACTGGAGTGCAGTGGTCTGCGATCTTGGCTAACTGCAAGCTCTGCCTCCCCAGGTTCACACCATTCTCCTGCCTTAGCCTCCCAGTAGCTGGGACTACAGGCGCCCACCACCACGCCCGGCTAATTGTTTTGCATTTAGTAAGAGATGGGGTTTCACCGTGTTAGCCAGGATGGTCTCGATCTCTGACCTCGTGATCCACCATGGCCTCCCAAAATGTTGGGATTACAGGCGTGAGCCATGGCGCCTGGCCTTTTTTTTTTCTTAATGTAGAACTTTGTGTATTATAAACTTCTGTATTAGAACTGTTTGAATTACATCACACAAGTTTTTGGTTTCTTGTGTTTCCAATTTCATTTGTCTCAGGATATGTTTAGATTTTTCTTTTGATTTCTTCTTTAACCCCATTGATTTTCCGGGTGTGTTGTTTAATATTTACATATTTGTGAGTTTCAATTTTTCTTTCTGCTATTGATTTTTCAGTTTATATCAGTACAATCAAGAAAAAACATTATAATTTTAATCTTACTACTAAATTTGAAAAGACTTACTGTTTTTTACTTTTGGTTTAACATGCTTGATCTATCCTGCAGAGAATATTTCATGTTGTATTCTGCAGAAAGAATGTATGTCTCCATATTGTTTGGGTGGGACATATACGATATTTGGTCTATAGTGTTGCATAGTGCACTGTTTTCTTAATTTTGTGCTTGAGTGATCTATCCATTTAGAAGTAGAATACTAACATTTTCTTTTATTGTATTTCTGTATATTTCTCTTTCCAGTTCTCTTAATGTTTTGCTTTTATATTTAGGTATTCTAGTGTTGGGTGCATATATCTATTTATTTATTTATTTATTTATTTATTATTATACTTTAAGTTCTAGGGTACATGTGCATACCACACCAGGTTTGTTACATATGCTTATACTTGTGCCATGTTGTGTGCTGCACCCATCAACTCCATCAGCACCCGTCAACTCGTCATTTACATCAGGTGTAACTCCCCAGTAAATCCCTCCCCCTCCCTGCCCATGATAGGCCCTGGTGTGTGATATTCCTTCCCGAGTCCAAGTGATCTCATTTGTTCAGTTCCCACTATAATGAGAACATCTCATGGTGTTGGATTTTCGTACCAT